CCAACGAACAGCCCTCTTGCAATTGTTCCTGCTGCCTGCTTTCTGTATAAACTCCTGAAAACAACAGTCTTGTTATTTACAGCTTGCTATTCACCTCCATGTCACCACCCTGGAGAACCAAACCACAACTGACACCACCTACACCCATTCCATAGTATTTCCCATTGTTATTTGCTTTCATTTGTTGTATTTTCAATTTTCGCTTCTATAAAATTCCAGTGGTTGTGTTCGTGCTTCTACTCACCTTATTTTTATATTTATATCGGTATCATTTGGTATTAGAGCTAGTCAAACCCCAATTCCAATCCTAGGATGACCTAAACCCACCAAATCATAGTCAAATATTGACCTAACCCCTACCTAATTTTCAAAATCAATAACCCGAACATTTTTATGAACCCTAAATCAGCCCCATACACTCTCTTTTACCTCTCAAACCTAAACCCTAACCATGTCACTGGGGAGACAAATACCAGAATCCGATTGAAAACTTACCATAGAAGATATGCAACGGAAAATCCTTGATTTCAACGAAGAATTACTGAAATTGAGGACATGACTCATGAAGAGATCAACGTCAATCGTGATGATAAGATTCAAAGAGGAGAGAGGGAGAAAAATCTGAATCCCTTCCATAGGGTTGAATCCAGAGAAGAGGATGATAGGTCATGACAAATGGGATTCAGTATCTGAGGAGGTTGAGGGATGGAGTAACTTTTGAAAGATATGGAGACATTAGGGTGAAGGTATAATTACCGGATTTCGAGAGAAGAATGAATCCAAATGACTTCATTGAGTGGTTGCAGACTGTTGAGAAGCTTTTTTAGTATACAGAAGTACCAGTTGATAAGCAGGTGAAGCATGTTATCATAAAACTAAAGAAAAATGTCTCTTTGTAATGAGAGAATCTGAAGAGAGTGACACAAAGAGAATGTAGCAACAAGATCACAACTTTGGAGAAGATGAAAAAAGAGATACAGAGGAAGTACCTACCCCCACATTATCGCCAGAACATGTTCTTGAGGCTACATCACTTACATGAGAGGGAGTTCTCAGTAGAGGAGTTCACAGTGGAGTTTAGGCGACTCATGCTGAAATGTGAGTTAAGAGAGACTGAGGAGAACACCATAGCTAGGTATTTGGGAGGCCTAAAGTTAGCCATCAACCATGTCGTTTAGTTGCAGCCTTATTGGTCATTGAGTGATGTTCAAACAATGGCCCTAAAGGTGGAGAAACAAAAAAAGCACATCAAGACCCTGTCTTCATTCAGACAGTCACCCATAGTATGAGCCAGTAAAACTACACCTGAGAAAAGTGTGAAAATGTCTAGAAATATGATAGAACTAATCAGAGTAGGAATAAAACTGAGAGGAACAGCACACCCAGCATGGTGCCTGCAGGAAAGTGTTTCTAATGTCATGGATTTGAACAAATCATCTCTAGTTTCCATACTACCAGACTTGTCTCTTTCACTGATCATGGAGCAGGAAAAGAAGTGGACATTGGTATTGGAGACATAGAAGAGAGTGAGAAGGTGCAGGAGTACCAGCTTCCAACTAATGAAGGTGAAATGCTTGTGGTTCAACCAACGGGTTCTTCAAATTGAAGCAATGAGACAGCACCGGTAGCTTCGCCACATCTTTTATAACTGTTGCATTGTTAAGGAAAATGTGTACAGGCTTATCATCGATTAAGGTAGTTGTGAGAACGTGATGTCTACATATGTTATAGACAAGTTGAGTCTCACTACTCAGAGACATTCTCAATCATATTCTCCGACTTAGTTAATGAAGGGGAACAGAGTTAGCATTGACAGAAGATATCTCGTAGAGTTTTCTATTGATAATCAGTTGTGTGACTAAGTGCGGCGTGATGTTATCCCCATGAACGTCTGTCACATTTTGTTGGGGGAAGTTTGATTATAAGACTCGATATGATCGATCAAGAAACACTTATTCATTCATCAAGGATAAAGAGGGCATAGTTCTTCTACCTTTTAAAGAGTCTGAGGTTACATGTGCTCTTGCCATGAGAGGCGTCAATGAGAACAGTTTTGGTTGTTAGAGGGTAATGAGACAGAAGATTCGATATCACACACAGGAGAACCACTACGGAGAGAGTCTGAGGATATCCTAACCGACAGCTAACTGACAGTGCTACCATCGTTAGACGCGGTTCAGTCTGTCTTCACTTCAGAGAGAAATAAGCCAACCTTGAGTTATTTTCGGATGACTCTACGAAGTAGGCTTGGCATGAAGTTCCAGTTCAAATTCCGCAAATGGTTCAACAGATAGAGATGGTTACCCGCACATCAGAGAACTTTCTCAAAAATTTTGTGGGACAGTGCATTTGATGGTGTGACCCATGTAAGTTTATAGATACAGTCGAAGACCCTCAAATCGTAGGCGATTACGACAACTCTACCATTTTAACATGGCCCAAATCAAGGTCATATCATGAGAAGTCAGAAAATTCGACATATGAGATCAAAGCTCCGCCAACCCTATGTTCAATTACTCTCTCTCATAATTTGAATGTATAATGCATTAACTTAATTCCTCTACTTTTTGCACACTCTTGTGTGTCCCATTTATTTTTAAAATAAAAATTAGTACTCTTTCTCTACTCATGAAACATCTATTTAATTTTTTAAATAATATTAAAAATTTTAGTGAATAAAAAAATTTTCAAATCTTCTGAATATTTTCACACTTCTATTGAAATATCATTAGGTCCTACCATTTTTCCACACTTCATTTTCTTTAAAACCTCCTCACCTTTTGTTTTACTAAGGTAACGGTAGAAATAAAAAAAATATTAATATTTATGATATTAAGATCATTAAAGTCGATCGTATTTTTATAATCATTAAAAAACTTATCAAAATATCTTAACCACCTATATTAAATATCATCATCTAAGAAAAAAACTTCTCAATTTTTATCTTTAATGCACTTTACTTAAATTAAATATTTATTTTTTAACTCTTTGTTTGTCTAATTTATATATATTTCTTTCACCATTTTAGTATTAAATTTATTATAAAGATCACCAAAAATAGAATTTTTAATATTACAAATCTTAGACTCCCAATAGGTCCTCTTATATTTTTTTAATCTCCAAATTGTTACATCTAAACAAATTTTTATAGAAAAACTTCTTATTTTTAATTTTTTTCTTGCTCATTATTATTCCACAATTAATTATTTTTATTCATAAGAGTTTGTCCTTTAATTCTCCAACCATAACTTTTGCAATTTTTTTAATAGTGCTCATTAATCTATCACACATGGCATTAGATATTTCACGAACATCACAAATTTTAAGATCTTGAAATTTACTCATAAGAATAATTTCAATTTTTTTTAAGTGTTACCATATAATTCTATGATAATGATTTATTATATTTTTTTATATTCTAACATTTCATTTTAAAATCTAAAATTAATAATCGATGTTGGCTACTTAAACTTTTATTTAGAATAATTTTTAAAACTTTATAATCTCAAAGATATATTTTCATAAAAAATAATTAATTTGTATTTTATTGGATATATTATTATAAGTGATAATCTACTCATCTTTTTTCATAAATAAAATAATAGAATAGGAAAATTATAAGCTAAAATAAAATCTAATCAGTGTTATCAAATTGAAAAACACAATATGATGTGCAAGGCTTTATCTTTGTTTCAAAGTGCAAGGCACGGAGAAAAACGATGTTTTTATTAATCAAAGAGCTAATAAGTTATACAAAATTATTAATATATTAAAATAATCATTATAATTATAAAATATAAAGTATAACTTAAAAGTTGCTATAAAATAGAAAAAAATATGGTACAATAGATAACTTGAAGACAAATATTGAGGAAAAACTTGCAAATTAAAATTTCGAACAATTTTTAATAGTTTGATGTACTAACATCAGTGCTTTGAAGCGTGTCATAGAAAAGCAAAATGGGCATCATGTGCTTCGTTTTCTTTTGCTAGTAAAAATATTCAATCTAACATGGCTCAACCTCCTTCATTAGTCACTCCAAAATCAAGATTACCATGAATATTTTTAAAATTTTATATCACTCTATCAAATGTTCATTTAAATTTCCTCCATTTAAAAATTATTCTTCAAGAGGTATCTTTTGAATTAATTTTTTTTAGGTCATTCCCTTTTTTTTAAACATATATATCTAAATATAATTGGAGAGCATAAGCACTTATAACATTAAAAATTTTAGTATCGCTAACAATATTTAGAGCTTTGATTCTATCTTCAATTCTATTAATTTTTATAATAGTATCTTTCAAAATCTAATAAATAAATAAGTCTACACTATTTCTAACATGACTTCTATATGAATACCAAATTTTAAAACATATGTTATTAATTTTCTTAGCATTTTCTCAAACCTACTTAGTTTCTTAAATGCATAAGCTATTTATCTTCCTCTAAATCATTATATCTATTAATTTCATTAATTTACTTGTGAGAGTACTTATTTCAAGTTCTTATCCTAATAGACTAATACTTATCTTATGGACCAACTTTTTTGCCATTATCCGTCAATAATGTAAAAATCTTTGCTTATTTAACATTATACCCGAATGTCAAGGCAACAACGGTTGTATTCACACTTTTCACTAATGTGAAAATCTTGCACACTTTTCACTGTATTCAGTTTATACAACACTTCGTTTCTAGGGGACGCCCTATATGCTAATGATTTAATTTATGATGATGACTCATCAAATAAAAATGAACGTAGAAGAAGTGTTCACAATTTCTTCATTTATAATAGCCAAAAAAAAGAGCTTGGTTTGTCTTCACTTTTCATTACTTAAAAAAATGGAATTAATGATCGAGAATGAGCGTTTAGATAGCTGAACCCCTACACCTAATAGTTGAGATAAGATAATGACGAACACGATAATGATGACTAGAAACATAACACATATAATGTTTCATTACACTTCACATCACAAACTTTATCAAAGCTTACCTGCACTAAATATACCACTGCATTTACTGTATAGAAGGTTGGTCTTAGGCCATCAGTGGACACTCCTCGTGCCTGCCATCAACTCAATGTCATAACAAAAGAGAAAAGAGAGCCTAGCAAATAATGCATAACCAAACAACAAAGAAAAAAAAGTTTTACATTCATACCACTGAATTCTTATGCATTTACATATCCAACACATAAACTTCCATTTGTACATACATGCCACATTCCCCATGCATGAAAAAGCATATTTCACTTTTTAAAAGTTAAAATGTTGGTATTTTTGATGTGATATTAAAGATTTCGGAAGTATAAATGTAAAAATTAAAGTTTAGGTGTTAGATAAGTAAATAAATAGGAATTTAAGTGGCATGCATGTAAACCTTCCAAGAAAGAAATAAGAACCTGGTAATATATCTCAGCCCAAAAAAGTGCCAACAGCGTATATGTGGTGAAGAATGCGAGAGCAGGCATATCAAGAAGCATGTGTTGCAAAATCTGAAAACCATATAAGCCAGATTCAGTTCCTAGCGTTCTTCGTATAATACTTAATGAACATGAAGGATAATGAACAACCTCAGGACTTATTTTCTGCACTCTAGGACGGAATGAAAAGACAGCAGATCTAACTGCAAATGTCAAACAAGAAAACTTAGTGTGAGAAAGAAGAATTCGAAATTAGTATATGGAAACAAACAGAACAGGAACCCCACCTCCATTAACAAGGAAATTCAATAAATGAAACACCTTCTGCGTCGTCCATCCATACTCTGGAACCCTACACTCGATTCTGATCAACTGTATCTGCGTGTGTCAAATTCATTGGAGAAACAAAAATTCAGGCGCTAAACAGCAATTGAATGAACCACAAATCAATGGCCAGGCCCCCACTCAACCATCCGGGGATAAAAAAAACAAGATTGAAAAGAAAAACTTAATAACAGGATGAAGAAAGACCTATCAGATTTTTATTTTATTTTATTTTCAGCAGAGCCGCTTAATCCACAACAACACTTCCAATTCCTCTAGGAAAACAAAACCTAACCCTAAAGAAAAAAGAAAGCAATAGGTCCAAGAGAAGCGGATTACTAGAGCAACGAAGGATATCAACCCAAAAAGCGACGCGAGGGTTAAGAAGATCCGATTCTGCCACACCGCGGACTCATTCACCTCATCCCACCACTCCGAGGCGCTGTTAACAGCGGTGGTCGCCGCCGATGCCATCGCCAAACTTCCGTCAGCAACAGCAAAAACTCTGGTTCTCGAGGGCGGAATCTCAAGAATTTCGATGAAAATTTATGAAGGCGAGGTTTGGACTTTCGCCAAGTCGGAGAAGAAGAAGCTGATAGGGATGGTCGGATGGAGTCTATTATGGTAGATTTGCAAAAAACTCTCCCAGGGGTGGCAACTTTTTAGAAGGGACGCGCAATTAATTAGTTGTGATAATGAAAATCATTTCAATAAAATTAAAGATTTTATAATTTCTAACATTAGCTGTTTTTTTAAAATATTTAAATTTATATTTTTTTTTTATTTTATCTGCTAATAAAAAATAAAACTTATTTTCATATGTTTATGAATAATAAGGTTAAATATACCTGCCCTCATTAATTTTTTGTCCATAAAATCATGACATAAATTCTTTAATTCATGTTTAAATATGCAATGATGACAAGATTATCTTGAAAATTGTAAATTAGAATAAAAAATGAGATTTAGATAGATAACAATTATAAATGCACATTTTGTTCAATTTTATGGCAGAATAGAATATCTTAATACTAGTCTTCTTAATCTTAAAGATAAGTGCATAAGATTCTCTTATAATTCTCCAAAGATTATTTTGCCACCTATTTATTTATGTCCTCAAATATTTTATGCAAAGCTTTATGATATTATTGATGTGTGCTAGAAAATTTGCGACGGTAGAGTAATGGATTATAGTTTTAGTGATGAATGAGAATTCAGCACACACTCAGATAAGAAAACAACCGGTAGTGACAATTGAAGTTTTTACGTGGAAATCCTGTAAAGGAAAAAAAATTATGGGGTCAGACCCAGTTGTAAGAATTTACTATAAGTTGTTGATTACAGAGGCTTCTTGTCCCACGGGTTGGAAAGGGAAAGTCTTTTGAATTATAACGTCAAATGAACTTGTTGTAAGAAGTTGGTGGCAGTCAATGATGATCAATGGATGTTGACATATGGTAGTTGACGACAGTCAGCGATGGTCAATGGCGGTTAGAAATGAACGATGGTGGTCAGTGATAATCGATAGCGGTCAGTGGTCGTCAATGGCGGTCAGTCGCGATCGACGGTAAGGGGAGTAGTGATGGACTTCAGCTCATTCTCAAATCTTCAAGTTTTGTTCTCAATCATCAAGCTCTTCTTTCCCTCATAAGAGGTTGGGGTTCTTTTTATAGTGTTCTAGGTGCAATTAATGCAAGAATATAAACCATTTTGATTAGACGATTTTGAGAGTTTCCTTTGATTAGACAGCGTTTAATGAACATTTGAGTGTCTTAACGATGTCATAATTAAGCAATCTTGGGCTCGTTGACTCGTCTTGTCAAAACTCTCGATTCAACTATAAGCTCGCTGGATTCAACAACCATTTGACCTTCTAAATGCATTAAAAAAACTTTCAAAAGTGATTTAATAGCTTGATTTGACTTGGATTGAACCAATTTTGGTATGATTGGGTCTGTCTCGTCAAGACGATTAATTTGACTATAAATTTCCCGAAATAGAAGCTCTGAATAATTTTTTACCAAGATTTGAATATTTCTTACTCTAAAGATTATCTAAAGATCTGTATGATGCATCGAGATTTATGTCAGACGATGAGAATTTAATAAAGATGTATCAATTATTATGCTAAAAAAAAAGAAAAATTGTGAACGAAAAAATTAGATGATTAGATCTATGTATAATCTTTAAAAATATGATAGAATGATTTTAATTCACAATCACTTATCATAATTAAATAAAAAAAAATTATTGATAAATCTAAGATATTGTTTTGTATATGTAATTCATTATCTTTTCGTCAAAATTAGACATTAAGAAAACCTTTGTACAAATATAAAAAGAAAATTTTTTTAAGGTTCTATAAACAAAATAATAATTTTCGTGGGGTTATGTAAATATTATTTGGAAAAAACACTTGTCAAGAATTGTGAGCAAAAATATTTTATTATTTTATTTTGTTTTTTTTAATCTATAGTAAAACATTGCTCATGATCACATATCAATAATTCTTGCTCAAACATGACTATATATGGAATATGATGGACATATTTTTAGGGATATGAGGAATACTACAAAATAAATTACATTAAATTTTTTAAAAGCATGACCTTATTATCATATAAACTCTAACCAAAAGCAACACAAAAGCACATAAAGGTGGAGTTGTGCCTTTTGAACGTTGTATTTAGTATCGTTGTGCCATAAAATTCACACCGATAGAATCATAATTTAATGTGTTAGTGTTGCACGAAGATCCATTACACACATATAAAAAGTAATTTGATAATCACCAATTTTTTACATGGAAAAACCATACAAGAAGAAAAAAAAAACACGGGGTCTAACCTAATAAAAGTAATTCACTATGTGTTTGTAAGTACAAGGGTGTGCTTTTCTCTCACGACAAAGAGAAACGGGGTTACATTCTTGCACAAAAGTTACACTTTTTTTTATACATCACAAAAAAAGGTCTAAGTGTTGGACACAATAGATGTTGTATGAATACAACAGTTTCAAGCAGTATTCATCGGCAACCGGTGACAGTCAGTGGGGGTCAACGGTGGCTGAAGGGTGGTGGTTGATGGTGGTTGACAACTACAGAGACAGCAGTTACTCGTCAGATCTTCTCTCCATAATAGGTTTTGAAATTTCACTTCTTCTTCTCCTCCCTTCCCATGTGAAGATATGGGGTCTATTAATAGCATATTTGGGAGGGGCATTTTGGTATTTATGTTTACAACTTTCATAACCATGTAATCATATGACTCATGCTGATCCCGTTGATCATGTACAATTTTTTAAATATTTGAGTGTCTCAATGACCTCAAAATTCAGCAATCTTGGGTTAGCTTGATTCCTGCAATCCAGCCACTCGATTTGATTATAAATATGCCAATTTTAGAGATTATTTAATCATTCAATCAATGATTCAAAGTCTCTAATTGCGCTTCAACAACTTTATTTGGTTTATAGAACCCGGATTGGACTGGTCAGTTTGACTATAAATTTCTTGAAATCATGGATCAAATGATCTTGAATTTGAATTTGAATGTTCCCTTATCAAAAAATGCATAGAGATCCATGTTTGATGAAAAAAATTAATGAGGTCATGCTAAATTCTCTACATGTGTTGGAGGTTTATGGCTATACTTGGCTAAACAAGATGGATGTGTAGAGCTAGCAGTGTTTGAAAGACTATTTTCCTAAGGAGAAACTTTAATGTATGAATATGATGCTACCTATATACCTTTAATGAGTGGATTTCGAGGAAGTTGTGCCACTGCAGTATATGTTTGCTTTAGTTGTTAGGCTTCCTATAAAATTTGGAGGATCTTATTTTTTAGACTCATTTATTTGTCACCAATGCTCTTTAAAATGTGCAGAGGAAGTTCCTTCACCAGCTGGGTGATGTGTATTATTGGGAAACTAAATAGATGCTTGGCTCTCGGACTTCGAGGTCAAGAAGTTCATATACTGTATTTGTTAGCCATTATAAAAGTGTTGAATTCAATCAACGAGATTTTGTTTCCCATAGAAAGCGCCAAATTAATTTTGTGACAGAAGATTCACAATGGTAGAGTGATAATTTAACGTCCTAGTATTGCACGGAGATCCAACACTCATACGATAAAATAAAGTAATATGAGGAGACACTAAAATTGTTTACGTGCAAAAACCTTGAAAAGAGAAAAAAATCATGAGGATTACCCCGATCAAAGTAATCCACGATAAGATTGTTAGTACATATGTCTAATCTTCTCCAACATTTGAGAATATGTAATAACAATTTTGAAAATCACAATTGTACACTAGTCATCAAGGTTTAATAACTGCATTTGGGTTATAACAGAAGTAGTTTTTGGTGATAATAACAATAGTGGGCCACAAAGGCAGTACTTAATTGTTATAAAGGTAGAAGTCTTCCACAATGATTGGTGGTGGTTGCGATAGCGTCAGTTAACCATAGATATCATTGCTGGAAGCTATAGTAACATTTAACTGGATCAACCGTAGTTGATCGCACAAGCGGTGGTGATAGTTGTAGTAGCGTTAGTTGGTCAGAGAGCATGTCCTAGTTGAAGGCTACAATGACTGTCATTAACCACATACGTTGTAATGGAAGGCTGCAAAGATAACGATTGAGTGGGAGACTACAATGATAATAATCATCCACATTGGCTGTAGTGGGAACCTATAGTAGTGACTTGCCACATAGGTTGTAGTAGGTCCTTTCAAAAGTTTTAATTTGTCATTGTTGTTATATTGAAAGTTTTTAATGATAATAGTTAACCACATAGATTGTAGTGGAAAACTACTAAAGTAACTATCCACAAAAAACATAACAAGTCACTGCAAAAGTGTCAATAAGGCATAATGGGTATAATGGAAGGCCTTAATGATAACAAATAATCACACAGGGTGTGGTGAGAAAGTTACAGTAATAATTAGTCATATAGGTCATAGTCACTGCAAGACCGTAAGTTGGTTATGAAAGCTGCAGTGAAATACTACAATAACAATAATTAGTCATGTATGTCACAGTGGGAAGATATACGAGTGACTGACCACATAGACCATAGTGGGTCACTATAAGAGCGTCAGTAGCCAGAAAGACTGCAGTTGAAATATGAAATCACAACAGTCAATTGTTTTAGTGAGAAGCTATAGTAGTAACTGGCCACATAAGCCGCAGTGGGTCGCTACAAGAGCTGTAGTTGACCATAGAAGTCTTAGTTGAAAGTTGTCATAAAGTCAGTTAGTCACATATGTCATAGTTGGTGTTATATCAGTTGATTGTTGCAACCCTTCTCTCGGGTTTTATTATTTTATTCTAGAGACAACATTATCAATATATGATATATAGAAAACTTAAGGAATCCAGAGAAAATTGTCATATTTTGAAATCAACAGTTGTAAGTGATTGTTGCCAACATTTATCGTTGGATTTGTAATGCGACATTATATACTACATCATATTCAAGATACTAAGCAGTACCATATTTAAGATTTTTCATAACACCATTTTCAGGATACTTCGTTACATAGTATTTAGGTTATTTTGTTGCGCAATAGAGTTTGCCACGAAGGTGAGCAAGGGGGTCTGCAGTGATCGACAACGGTCAACAGGCAGTAGTTGACGGTGATCGACACCTACTGAGGTT